CACCACACATCACAATCGGTCTCCCAAGGCACACAAAGGTGCTATAATTTAACTGCAACGGACTCCAGAGCAAGATCGAGGAGATAACTGCCTTCATGGGAAGGCATGGAATACTAATAGCTGGTATTGTTGAATTGCGCCGGATACAACGTGCACCGTCGAGATCGCGAGCGAGATAATGGTGGAGGTTTAGCGTTCATCACGCACCACACCGTGCAGTATCGTCTCATTAAAGCAGACATCGACCGCAGGGATACCATCTTAGAATGTCAGGGTATTGCTATCCGGTCAGGCGATGTTGAGCTCAAAATATTTAACGTATACATACCCCCTGTCACCAGCTGCCCGGCAGGATATCACCCTGAAATAGGTGCGCTACTCAGAGGTGAAAACCGTATGGTAGTTGGTGACTTTAACGCGCACCACGATCTCTGGCACTCAAGCCCGTCAAATGATTGTAGGGGAATACATCTGGCTGAGCAGATAGACGATTCGACATTCTGCACAATGAACGACGACGCACCCACCAGAATTATGGGCAGCTGCTGCAGCTCGCCAGATCTAACAATTGTCAGCGCTGGTCTGATAAACAGCGTATCATGGCGACCTATGCTGACTCTAGCATCAGACCATCTGCCCATAGTCATCTCGATTGATAAACCTGCCGACTTTGCTTCCGTGGATCACCGGACTTATGTCAACTTTTCCAAAGCTGACTGGAAAGGCTTCGCGGATGTTACTGAGGGCGCCTTCACTGCACTACCCATACCAACCGACGTTCATATAGGTGAACGTAAGTTCCGCAGGGTTGTCACCGCTGCTGCAGCTCGCTTCATCCCAGCAGGATGTATTAAGGATCCACGTCCGAATTTTCCTGCCGAAGCGGCTGTTCTAGCTGATGAGCGCGACAACCTTCGTGAGGCCGATCCCGGAAATCCCCGTATTAGGGATCTCAATTCGGAGATTCGGCAACTTGTGAACGTACATAAGCGGAAGAAATGGGAGGAGCATCTGAAGACTTGCAACTTCGCCTCTGGTGTGAGCAAGCTTTGGTCAACCGTGAGGTCGTTGTCCAACCCGACGAAGCGCGACGACAGAGTCGAGATAGACTTTGGTGACCACGCTTCGTCGGACCCGGAGAGATGCGCGAGCTATTTTAGCCGGCAGTTCATTCTGCATCCTCCGGTGGATAAAGCCAAACGTCGAGTGACCAGAAGGCTGCACAAAATGCCAAAACCTAGTGCGCCTCTTGTTTTCACCAGCGGTGAGGTAAGGGTAGCCATCGGGAAGGCGAAAGCCTCCAAAGCCATTGGACCCGACGGAATATGCATGTTGATGCTGAAAAATTTGGGTCCTGCGGGAGTAGCATACCTAACGGAGGTCCTCAACCTGTCAATGGCCACTCTCGTCATTCCAGACATCTGGAAAATGGGGAGAGTGGTAACACTGCTCAAACCGGGGAAACCAGCCAACAAAGGAGTCTTATCGCCCGATAACTCTCCTTTCCCCGGTAGCGAAGACACTCGAAGCCCAGCAGGAGGAGCAGCAGCTCCCGTACTTCACGAACCACCTGACCCCAGCGAAGCATCAACATGGGTTCCGTAAAGTGCATAGTACAACAACAGCACTTAACGCCATAAACACTCATATAACTCGTGGCCTAAACCGAAACCGCCCCTGTGAGAGAACTATTCTAGTAGCGTTGGACCTGTCCAAGGCGGTCGACACTGTCAGTCATTCAACGCTACTAGAAGATATAGAGGCCTCCTCACTCACACAGGGACTCAAACGGTGGTCGGCGAATTACCTGAGTGGTCGACACTCGTCAGTAATCTTCAGAGACAAAACCAGCAAGCCACGTAAAATTAAACAGGGGGTACTACAGGGTGTTAATATAGTCTCGTATGCTGACGATTGTTCGATCATGGCGTCTGGGAATGGAATTGATGACTTGTGCTCAAAAGTAAACGGTTACCTCTCCGAACTTTCTCGCTTCTTCACTGCAAGGAGCCTTGCCCTATCCCCTGCGAAATCCTCGGCAACCCTTTTCACCACCTGGACGAAGGAGGTCAGACTGCCACTGGGTATTCACGTCGATGGCGTAAGAATACCGACGGTGAATAGCCCGAAAATCCTCGGAGTTACCTTCGACAGTCTGCTCTCCTTCTCGGTGCATACAACCGCAATTGTCAACAAAGTACAGAGCCGCAACAATGTCCTAAGTCGCTGGCCGGCAGCACTTGGGGCAAAGGTAAAGAAACATTGTTGGCAACATACAAGGCAATTGGCCGGCCGGTTCTGAACTACGCAGCGCCCGTATGGTCGCCGGGGACTAGCAGGACGCAGTGGATGAAGCTGCAGGCCTGCCAAAACACGGCATTACGAACTGCGACAGGATGCCTCCTGATGCCGCCTCAACACCACCTTCACGACGAGGCCCAGATGCTCCCAGTAAAGGAGCATAACATAATGCTCTGCAAGCAGTTCCTCACTGGGAGCCTCAGACGTGCCCATCCCAGCGGGAAACTGCTCGCGGAAGAGCCCTCGCCACGGCACGTCAGGAGGCATCTTTACGAACTGACAGACGAAGTCCAGAGATATAATAAACAACCTCTGGACCCGTCAGCCTACCGACAGGCCCTGAACGGCATTCACAGGGAATCAGTCTCAAGTTATGTAGACTCCCACCCTGTGAATGCCGTTCTAGGCACACAACCACCGGACGTGGACGGGACAGAACTTTGTCTGCCTCGGGAGACCCGCACTACAATAGCCCAACTTCGCTCTGGCTATTGCAGCAGGCTCAACAGCTACCTGAGCAGAATCAACGAGGATGTGCCCAACCAATGCCCGGCATGTGGAGAGTCGCCACATGACTGCCGGCACCTCTTCACATGCCCTGAGAATTCCACTCAGCTAACGCCCCTGTCCCTATGGACAGCCCCTCTGGAAGTAGAACACTTCCTTGGCATCCCCCTAGCTGAAATAGACGACAACGTTGATGGATGAACCGCCCCGAACGGGGCTTAGTAGCCGCTACAACAACAACAACAATCAATTACCAAAATTTATAACTCAAAGACCAGGCAGAGGGGGAATCTTACAGGATCGTAAGGTTACCGATTTGTTCATGCCTTACATGGAAACTAATCCGCAACACCCTTGACAAAAAAGAAATTCTAAAAAATCAGCGGTAATTTTTAGCTATTTGAATCTTGCACTTTATTATTCTAAAATTAAACGGGCTGCGCCGACTTCGCCCTGAACACATAGATTACAGTGCCTCCGAAAAGCCTCCCAGAACCTCTTTCTCTACCTATATTCCCTCAAGAGAGGACTGGGTAGGACGGAGTTACTAAGGCTTCCGGACTTTTTCAATGTATTTCAGGTGGAAATAGCTGCCTTCAAGGAAGCGGTAGACTTACTGCTGAAGGGTGTGATGGTGCATTTGTAATCGGCACTTCTTTATCCATCGCGTCAGAGTCCTTCTTAGGTACTTCTTCTAGTTTAGGTGCCGGGCAGTGATATCGCTGAAAACTGCGTAGCTGATGACCTGGCGTTGGAAAGGCCCCTTTAAAACGTTATCCCCAGATAAGAAGCAACTAAGGACGCCTCTCCTGCGGTACACTCTTGGATGGCTGCGCCTAGTGTGAGCTCAGCGAGTGCTAGACTACCACGCAAACTTCGTACTCGCAATAATGAAATTTCATGCTTTACTAAATACCTAATAAAATGGACAAAAAAAGCGATGCTCCTTTCGTGACATAAAACAGGGAAAGAAAATGTTTTTATAAGGCATTTGAAGATAGTTTTTGCAGGGCAAGTAACGAGTGACCCATCGTTACCCCTTAAAGGCGCCGAATACCACGTTACCTCTCAAGAGCTAGTGATGGGAGTTTTGACAGGCCATTGTGCGATTAATATTCACTCGGTAAGACTAGGAGTTTCAACTGATCCCTTTTGTATCAGCTTTCAAGAGGAAGATGAAGTGGAATCATCTTCACACTTTCTTTTGGGGTCCAACTTTCGCCAGGCTAATATCAAAGTATTTTGGCTCACTCTTCAGAACTAACGCAAAAGATCGCAGGGATCGAAATTTGCCACATTAAAAATATGGTAATCGGCTCGCGGCGTTAACCCAACCCAACAACTTATACATTTTTTAACAAATCGTCCGCTATATTGGGTCCGCCATTTTGAATTTTGGAAATGTATTTTAATATTCGAATTATGTGACGACGAACATCCCTAATTACCGAATTTCATTGAAATCTGTCTAATACATTTGGAGTAAATACCAGGGGGGCTACTCTGTAATACGATGCGATAGCAAAATTGCGAAAATTCGGAAGATTGCCACCCTGCAATGCGACAAGCGCATTGAAAATTGCCCTTTTAGCACTCATTTTTCCCCTTTTGCATTTTAGACACTCTGTAATGCGTAAACGAAAGCCAAACTGTTTCTTCTATTGCGATTTGCGTTCGATAGCTCTACAGCTATCGCAATCTACAAACTGCGTTTAATAAAGGAAGATTTCGATATACATATCTCCTTTATGTAGGAAGCTAAATCCAATAAATTGTGTTACGGGTTTACATACCGATCACACAGCAGTGAAAATTCAAATTATCCATGAATTTCGGCTAAAGCTAAATCGTGGATATTCTTAATCGAATATAATCTACCTCTTTAGCAGAAAAAAAAGGAAATTACCATAAAATCCATTCCCTGCTTATAACTCTGACTAGCATTTGAATTATTTTTTAGGTATTGGAAATTTAATTTTGGGTGTTTTAACGCCATGCGGGTTTACTAGTCTTTTGATACTTTCTACGACAGCGGTCTTTGTGCGGTAATTAGTCAACGTTGCGAAAAGAACGCGAATCAGTACTTGACACTTTTAACAACAAGCAACATTACCGTGTTATAATCGCAAATATTTCAAGTTCATTTCAAATTTAAAAGTACGTACCCTGTGCCCAACGCGTTATGGTCTTTGTTAGTCTTCTAGATGACCTTGCTCATCCGACTATGTTACGTTATCAGTTTCGATAGCAATATTTCCTCAAAATTTTGGTGATCGCACAATCACCAATCCGATGAACTTAGCGGCTTCTTACTGAACATTGTCATTGTCTTCCTAAAATCAAATGTAGTTATGAAAGTTACAAACATTGTATCATATTGTCTAATACTACTAATACTGTAATTTCACGAAATCGTTTCATGAAATGTAATTAAAATACATGAAATGGTGAAATGATTTCGTGAAAAGACAAACACATAGACATAGACATAGACTGAATTGCCATTCCCGAGTTATCGCGGTTTTAAGAGCTGAAGGATTTGTATGCTTAACGCTCGTATATATACTATTTTTGGCAGAACTTCGAGTATTGTGGTATTTGTTTTTTGAAATCTGTAGCAAATGCACGAGCTTTTATTTATTATTCGAGAACAGCGAAACTTTAGTTATAAAATATTTTCCAATGAAATACATATGTATATTCAAAAATAACAAAGTTATTGAAAAAAATGTAAAAGAACCCAAAAAATACCCACTTGGTTCGGATAATGCGGTATACTATTCCACATTACGATAACGTAGCTGTCATCGCCTATATAATGTTGCCTTGGCTCCACTTTCGGATTTCCCCCATGATTCAATAATAAAAGATTGTGTAATTTGTGACAGCTAAAATTTGACAGTCCTTTATCTAGATTTGTATTTTGGAAGTAGGAGAAAGGGGAAGAATGTAATCGCCTTTTGCCAAAACGGTAGTAGAAAGGTACTAAAAAAGTGCGCAAAGTATACAATTAGAAGTAAAATGTGTATAATTAATTCGATGTGAATTTGAAATATATTTGGGTTTTTAATGGAAATACTAAACAATACGTATAAATATAGATTTTTAATTTAAGTTATTCGTCATTTCCTGGAACAAGTCTAAAATACCGACCGTTCAGCTATGCAAAAACGAAAAATGCAGATCAATAGAACTTTTTACGCTCATTTCAACCATGCCAAATTATTTAGCGCAGGTAAAATATAAAGACTTTTTAGAAGGTTAAAGTTAAATTTTTTGATTTTTTTTTAATATTAATATCTTATGAACCACATAACCGATTAAAAAACTAATAACGTCACCATAAAAATAATCAGTTTATCTTTCAGCTGATAAACATAATTGAAATTGTTTTTTTATATATTTAAACCAAAACCAGTAAAAAACGAACAAATGTTATTTTTTCATGAAATAACCTTTTTTGGAAATAAACTGCATGAATAATGGTGAATTTATATTATTTAGAAAGTAAAAGCTATTATCTTTAATTCGATATACATATTTCATTATGATCTACTTTCGGGTTTTCAGAACTAAGTGATAAATAAAAAATATAAATAAACAAAGCAAATAAACCTCTTATATCTTATTTATTTTTAACCTGCGCCAAATAAATTTGGCACTTTTGGTTATTTTATAGCTAAACGGTCGCTATTCTAGACTTGTTCCAGAAAATTACGCAAACGAAGGTGATGCCAACGAATGTTTAGTATGAAGAATTTTTGGTTTTACTACTAATATAACTAAAAACTGTAGAGTGAGCAACATTCTGCACAAGTAAAGGAGCCGATTTTATGTGTGGGAGCGAGAAGACTGTTTTATTACAAAACCTTTCTATTATTGAATCATGGATTTCCCTATTTTTAGCATCTAGAATAGAAGTGAAGTTCAACTAATTAAAAGTCTACGTATGGAGGGTAATGTGGTATAGTAATACCTTAACCGACCTCTTGTGTACCACAATGACCGATTTTCAAAAATTCCAAACAAACTCGCACAAAATCTACAAAACATAAATTTTCTGTTATCCGAGGCTTTTGCAATATTAACAGGTTTTTCTTTCAAAATTAATTTTTTTAAACAAATAAAGTTGATTTCTTGCAGTTAAAAAAACTTTATTTTAATTTTGGATCACATGTTTTGTGCGACTTAAAGAAAACCAACTGGTTTTACTTCATATATGTATTATAACCCCGTTTTTTTTAAGTCATCATACGTTGAGGTAATAACAGTTATTGTAGACTTCCCAGATTTGAAGATAGCGACAACACCACATTACACTCCTATAACACAATACCCGAAGTTCCCCTAATACTTGTTAATGGATTCCTAAATTGATACTGCGGTTTGTTCGTGGAAATACGTTATAAATGCATATAGCATATACTGTTATGTAAAAACATAAGAGACACGACATCTTGACCAGTTTTGACTCTTTTCCTTTCGTTTGTTTAATGTTCATTAATTTTTTATTAAAGACCAGTTAATTATATAATACTTAGAGAAACCAAAAAAAAAGGTTCTTGAGCAACACCGTGCCAGACGCAGTTAAAATAATGATTTTTCTTTTTATTTTTTTTAGCTAAAACTATCGGGTTTTCAACGCGGACAAGACGAAGTATCTCCTGTCATCAAACAAACAGTCAGCACATTCGTGCCTTGCAGGGGCGGGGGAAGACGTGGGTATGGTGGGTAGTACTACCCACCTGAAATTTTTAGAGGTTTCAAATTACCCACCTAAAAATGTTTTGGAAGAAAAACAAGTCCAATTTAAAATCCTGTTTTAACCACAGCTGAAGTGTATTTTCGGAAGATATATTATGAAATTTTTGACAAAATTATTTGCTCCCTGAGAAGTAGATTTGATACTGAGGGCGTGTGTGAATCGGTAACAAAGTTCTATGGGGAACGCTGTTGAATAATATTTTTACTATGGTGAGACAGTTTTGCCAATCTGGTGTGTGAAATGAAATATTTTTGACAACAGTAACTTTTTAATAACCACAAATTTATGCGGAATAAAATATTACAAATTGAAGTGAAATTAACATTAAAAAAAAACATCTGCCATCTTTGATTCAATTTAAGCTTTCATTCAATCGTTCATCAATTTAAGCTTTTATTTAACGAAAAATTACAGACTATGCATTTGTCAAAAATTTCACTAGCCTCATGAGCTACTAAAATTTTATTCACCTCATAGTTGTCAAAAATTCACTCGCCGCGAACTTTGTTACCTAACTCACTGTTTATTCGATGATGAAAAAATCTTTTTTAATATTGCCTGATTATGAAAAGGCAATATGACCATCGAAAAAGAAAATAAAGTTAAAAGTGGCAACGTCTTGATTATAAAAAGGCAATAAGATGACCATCGAAAAAGAAAATAAACCTAATAATGGCGGCGTCTTGCGCTTATTTGTAAATATTACCACTAATCAATACTTATTTGCGTGATTTAGTTATTTGCGAATAAAAAATTAACTCAGCGTTTATACGGCAAAGTTTACCATTTTTCAAATTGTTATTTGCAAATAATACGTGCGTACGCTCTGAATCGGCAACGTTTTATAAAACTTTAGAAAAGTTCATTCTTGGTGAGACGTTCTTTAATAATGCCATGTTTTATAATACAGCCCGATTCTGAACAGAAACTCCCCGGGAATTTTCTCTTTTCCCTTTCCTCCTATCATGAATAAAAATTCCTTGAGGATTTTTATACTAAATGGCGGAGTTGAGCTCTCAAAAAAGTGTCAAATAGCTTTTTCGAAGTTCGAATATAATCCTCCCAAGTTTTCGGGGAAAATGCTACTACTAGGAGTTAATTATTGGGGGATTTCTTTCTCGGGAGAAAAAATTCCCGGAGAACAAACTCCCCGGGAGTATTAAGAATTGGCCTGATAGTGATTTTGACGAATGCAAACTCAATAGCGATAAAGATATGGCTCTGTGCATAATAAGGCGTACAGAGCAAAATCCAAGATCCGTGAAAGACCTTGTGCAATTTGTTCGCGAAATTGTATGCGGGGCTTGTTCCTTAATTGGTACGCTCCATCAGAATACTTGCTACAATTCCAGGGTCTTCATGCTCTAACGAGAGGAGCTTTCTGTTTTGAGTAAGGCGAAATGTTATTTGCGCTCGACAATGCACCAAAAACGGCTCAACCATGTAGCAACATTGCATTCTTATCCATGAACTCGTGAACAACTCCATTTCTCGAAATTCAAAACGAATGGCCGTGTTTTCACTGCAGAAATACATTTCTTTTGATGAAATGATAATTTCCATGAAATATATACAGTGGCGATCAAAACCGAGTGCATGTACATTTTATTACTTACAGTAACATAATTTTTTAATTTTTGAAATTTTCAGCAATTGGTCCTTATTATCTAAGGAATAAAGCCTAGTATACAGAAAAACTAAACTTAAGAAAGAAACAAGCGATTCACAGCAAAACCGCAAGGCAACTCTATTGACTCAGTTTTGAACTTTTCTGTTGTTTTGTTTGTTTCATACGTCTGGAATGCAGCCACTGCATCTCTCAATTGAACAGGCTGCAAAGCGAACCCTCCTTAACTTTGCACGAGAGGGCTTCGGCAAAGGCAAGGTGTTATCATCCAGGAACAGGGACAAGCTAGGTACCCAGCTCCCCCTGGCTTTGTTCCCCAGGGACGATATTAACAGAGAGGTGGTCTTCAAGAGAAATTTCAGGACCCTCACTTACAACAAGGCGACGTGGTGTACCTCTATTATGCAGTCACATACAGGCGAGCACAATACAGTGGTACACTGACGGCTCTAAAACACCCGCGGGGATTGGAGCAGGCGTGTACGGCCCTAGGCTGAAGCTTTCGGTGCCCCTGGGAACTTTCCCTAGCATCTTTCAAGCGGAGGTCTATGCCATCAGTATGTGCGCTGAGATTAACATTCACAGGAACTATAGGAATGAAAGGATACTTATATTAAGTGATAGCCAGGCGGCACTTAGGGCCCTCTCAGCATTCGAGATCAAGTCCTCCTTGGTTTGGGAGTGTGTCGAGATGCTCAATGCTCTGGCGGAGGTCAATGATATCCAACTAATGTGGGTACCAGGGCACATGGGGGTTGCAGGAAACGAAGAAGCTGATCATCTGGCCAGAACGGCCGCTTCCTCGACCCCGATAGGACCTGAGCCCTTTCTGGCAGTAGGACCCAACACCATAAAGGAAATGCTCAGAGGGGAAAACAGCAAACAGAGGGAACTGCACTGGCTTGGCACCATGGGCCAACTTCAGGCAAAAAGCTTATTAGGAGGTTACAATCTGTCAAGATACAGGCTTCTCATGGATCTCCCAAAAGAGAAACTAAGAATTATTACAGGTTTTATGACGGGCCATTGTAGCCTCAGAGGGCACCTGCATAAACTAGGTATCTGGTCCAGCGACCTGTGTCGCTTTTGCGATGCAGCCAAGGAGACTCCTATACACCTTCTTATGGAATGTGAGGCTGTTGCACGCAGTAGGCATAGGAGCATAGGGCACGTCTGGCCAAGAGAGGAGTACATACACTCACTGTCCCCGAGGTCTATTATGAAATTTATAGACACTCTGGGGCTGGTTGATGTGTTGTGATGAGCTAGGGGCACAATAGACCTACTGGTCGCAGTGCCATACCTAACCAACTATCTATCTATCTATCTGCACATAAAAGAGTATTTCAGATTAAAGTTGTCAATAAATTAGTGCGCGGAAATTTCAAATCCGTGTTTTAAATTAAAGCTCAATCTTTCAACTACATGGGTAAGTTCAAAGATTTTAATTTAGATCGCGCGTTTTCTTGTAATAACCCGAAATAAGTGGGCAAATAGGATAAGAGTACCCTCTGCTAAGTCGAGTTGCCACTGTGAATTTTGGAAGCCGCATTATTAATAAACTAGTGCTCCGGAAATCTAAATATTAGCGCTAAATTAAAACTTAGTCTTTTAACTTCACATGTGAGTTCAAATATTTTGATTTCAATTGCGCGTTTTCATGTAATAAACCAAAATAAGTGTGCAAATACCAAAGGGTACCCTTTGCTAGGTCCAGTTGCCACTGTGAAATTTGGAAGCCGCATTATTAATAAACTAGTTCTCCGGAAATTTAAATATTAGTGCTAAATTAAAATTAAGTCGTTTAGCTACATATGTGAGTTGAAATATTTTGTTTTTAATTGCGCGTTTTCATGTAATAAATCAAAACAACCTAGCTCCCATTAGGCTTATTAATAAGATTTATACCTGTTTCTTATTTGTTGTTTTGGACCTAAAATTAAAGGTTTAAACGTTTTATTACACCAAATTTCCTTTAAATTGTAATTAACTTACATTTTTGTAGTAGTTCCCTTTTAAAATGCCAGTGAAAATTCTCCCAGAATAACGAAATCAATTCTCCTTTTTGACATTCGTAATACCTACTTTTTTCCCGAAATACATTTTCCCTTTTTCGAAGATCGTTTAGAATAGGAGAATAGGGAAAAGAGGTAAAATCCTCAGGGAATTTTTATTCATGATAGTAGGAAAGAGAAATGAGGAAAAATTCCTAGGGAGTTTCTGTTCAGAATCGGGCTGATAAAAAATCTGCAAAGTTTCATCTTAATTTTCAACTTTTATTGATTTTTCAGAATTTTGTTTGTTTATGCAGTTTAATAGCTCATTAAAAAATCGCGTTTATTAATAATTTCTGGCTGTATTAAAGCATTTTTTTTCCACAAAAAAAAATTTTGGAATATATTTTGAATGGAAAAAAATGCATAACAGTCAGAAAAAAAGTATTAACAACGAAAGAGATTTTTTAGCAACTTAAAACTTGCACTTAATAAATTAACTAGACTTTAATGGGCCATCTCTAGTTAACTGTCGATTCTGAGTTAACTACGCACTGTGAAATTGGCCCTTATATTGTGATTGTTATATAATGAGTAGACTTTTGTGGAAAAATAGTAAACTTTAAATAAACAAAAGAAAAAAGCGTTGTAAAATAGCCAAAATTTATCAAAATGTTGATGACTTACTCAGCTGATCACAAGTAAATATGGTGTTGTTACGTCATGAGCTACTTTTATGAAAAAAAATTAACATTAATTAAAGAAAAGAAAAACAGTCAAAATTGATCAATACGTTGCCAGCTTAATTACTCGATCGCAAGTGTATGTGTAAAGTATTAAAATCAGTAAGACCAATCAATGGCATTCAACACGAAGTAATTTTCAGTTAGGTGAAAAAGTTAATTGTTTATCATGTTAATTTGTATTCTACATTCTTAATAATAACTTACATTTTAAATGATAATTTAGATCGTTACATCACATGAGCGAACCTAAAACAGAAATTACATCTTAATGAGACAATTTAAAAA